CCCACCCGCGCCCCCGCACGCACCCGGCGCCCGGCCCCGCAGGCCAGGACGCCGCGCAGCCGCCGTATTTTCTGCTAAAGTGAAAACGAAGGCGGCTGACAAATCACGTCTCCTGTGAGGCACTCGTTAGACATAACAATATCCGGCAAACAAAACCCAGCCGCGGCTGCGACCGGCGCGCGGGGCTGGGACCCCGCCCTGCCCCTCCTCGGCCCCCTGCCCCTCGCCACTGCCCCTCCGTCCCTACCCAACCCCCAAATGATCGGGGCGGGGGGGGCGGGCTGTGTCCACGTTCGCCAAGAGGCGGACAGTAGGAACGCTCACAGTACAGAAGTGAAGGGGGGGGGGACAACTTTCCACCTGTCCCCAAAGAAAGCCCTGCTGGAGTTTCCTCGGAAGAGTTAAGAGGAGAGGGGGTGGGGACAGATCTCTCTCTGCCCCGCATCCCCTTTTCTTTTTTTCTAACTTGTCGGCGCCTGCGTTTCCACCTTCCGCTTCACGTACATCCATCTATATAGAGATATCTATATTTTAAATTATTTGCAAAACTGCAACAGATGGGCGCGTCGAGATCTGGACACTTTCCTACTCATCATCAAAGAAAAGCTCCCCCCCCCCTTTTTTTTTGCCTAAAATACATCCCGGTCCCGCCTACGACTGTTTTCCTCAATCCTTGATCTTCAAAAAATAATGTCTTGAAGCAAACAGAAAGGTTTATCAGCAAATATCATTCTCCCCCCAGTCATACATCTGGGCTAGTGGATCTGTTCCCCCAAACTGCACTCTTCCCAGACGCCCCCAACCCTCCATTTCCTCCACCTTCCAGAGCCCCCGCGCCCGCATCCCCTCACCCCCTCACTCCGATTGGCCTCGTTTCTCCAGCCCAGGGCTGGCCGGCTCAGTTCCCTCCATAAACCTGTTACTTATTTCTTTCTTTATTTGTATCTTTGGCCCCCGGCTTGGCCCCAGGGCCTGGGCTGGGCGGGGGCAGGTGCTGCGGACGCCGCCTGCGCGTGCAGGCGTCACGGCCTTTCCTGGGGTCGCGGGTTCGGACCCTGGCACCCCGGCCCTGCGGAGTCCCCGGCCTCGGCCTCGCCCGGCTCCCAGGCCACAGGAGGCCAATGAAAACACAAAATGGCAGGTCTCAAAGGCCCTTGGCGCCCGCAAGTTGGACACACTGTAAGCATCAGCTAACTTTGATTAAAAAAAAAAAATTACAAATTAGCCTCTCTCCCCCAGGCGGCGGGGCCAGAATCCCGCAGCGAGCCGCGAGAGGAGAAAGGGAGCGAGGGGCGCCCGAGTCTCAGGCAGAGGAGAAAATGGGGAAAGTCACTTGAGCAGAAGTTTCCGCGGCCCCAGCCTCCCCGTCTCCAGACGACTCCCCCCACCCCCCAGACCCTTTTGAAAGTTTCCCGGGGCCTGAGAGCGGCGCGCGGGCCGCGCGCGGATGGGGGGCGCGTGCTGGGCCCGGAACTGGGCGCGGGACCCGGAGCTGGGCGCGGGGTCCGGCTCGCGCCCCCGGCTCTCGGCCCCGCGACTCCTTTTCAAAGTAACGGTCCCGGGACCGCGGGCGGGGGAGGCGGCGGCCCAGGCGCGGGTCCCGCTCGCCGCCGAAGTTCTCTAGCGCCATTCGATGCCCGGCCACCGCCGCTTTCTCGGTTTCTTCCTCTTTTTTCCCCCCGCTGACAGCTTCTCTCGCCAACGTCACAGCCACGGATATTTAATTAGACCGTATTTTTTAATCGCGATGGGGCGAGAAGGAACCCGGCGGCAGGCCTCGCCGAGATGGGGAGGGGGAGGGGACGGGGGGGCCACGCCAAGAGTCCAAACTCACTTTGCCACCTCCCGGACGCCGGCCCCCCCAACCCGCCGCGGCCCCCCCCGCCCCCACCCCCACCGCGCCGCGCCCCGCGATCCCCCCCACCTTTGTTTTCCTTACCTTAAACATTGAAACGCGGGCGTCGGGAGCAAACTCGGGCACGTAAACGGAGCGTTGTAAAAGATTGTGTTCAATGAATAATGAAACATGTCCACATGATTGACTTGATCATTTTCCGGGGCTGAGGGGGGACGGGCGCCCTGCTCGCGCGCCTCGCTCGCCCACTCGGCAGAGCCCTGTGAACTGTTCCCAGCCCAGCCGGGGCAGGGCGGGCTCGATTTTCATCTGCCTCTTTTCAGAATCGCCCCGTTCATTGATACTCATCACCCAGCCCCAGCAGACATCCCCATCCCCGGCTCGGCCTCCCCCTATCTGGTAGGTGAAATGCATTGTACCATTAAAAACGCTCTCCATTGTCGCCCTGGCATAATTCACAGCAACTAGATAGGTCTTGCGGCATTTAGCTTTGATGAGCCAGAGACTGAACCCTTGATATAATAATCTACAAAGAATGGTGTGTGATCGTCCATTTTTTCTCTCTGTCTAGCAACTAAGAAACCATTTAACACAGCGCAGCTTGCTTCTGACCTTGAGCTCATGTAAACACACTTATTAAAATCTATCTATTCTCCAAGAGCTACATTCTGATTGTCAGACTCGTTACTGAGACATATATCAGCCCCTTCGCTTGTCACTACTTTGCATTCCTGCCTTTGACTAAAGAATTTTTTATCCAGCCGAGAGGGAGAGAGAGATTGCCACAGAGGGAGAGGAGAGAGAGACGGAAAGGGGGAGAGGAAAAAGCTTAATTCTTACCTGCTCCTGAAACTATTTAAAGTCTGTTTCTTTTCTGGGGAAAAAAAAAAAAAAAAAACTCCCGGGTGAATCTCGGTGGACAGCGGGACGCGGAGAATCAGTCACAGCCCGGGCGTTTAAGGGAGTCATCAGCGATCAAATGACGTTGATCCGCGCTGTAACCTTGTGGCGTATTTAATGTAAATAAGGCAGTTATGTTGCCAATCGCCGCGATACAAACACGAAGAGGTCCTCAGCCTCGCCTCCCGCGCCTGCCATTAGAGGCGACTTTATTTACAGACACTATTTAGGAGATCATGATAATTCTAAAACAATACTAGTGCCAAATGATTATGAAAATATGATTTTAATTAATCACGTAGTAGGCAAGGAAATTAGCATACGGTAATTAAACTTCGAGAAAAACGTCACGCAGGTTCTCTGCCTTATGGGTCCAGAATAATCATCACGCGGTGGGCTCCAGGACTTAATTATCAAACAAAATAACTTTTTTAAGGCAACTTTGCAAATGCTGGTCCTCAAGGCAAACGCTTTGGTAAATAATGTAAGGCGAGGTAACAAGGTAGAGATGTGAGTGATGCAGGAGGTTGGGTTTCTGTGAAGCAAGGAAGAGGGGGAAAGAAGGGGGAAAAAGCTGAATAATACAATTATGGATTCTCTGTCCTAGAGTTGACAAAAGCTGGTGCCTCAAAAGCCTCTTTGTTATGGGATTATATAATGATCCTGGTGTCATTATGGGAAAAAAAGATTCAGTAATAATAATAAAAGAAGTATCCAGATACACCAATGAGGAGCTTGTTTTAAAGAAAAGACTCGCATGTGACATTGGGGCATGTTAACAGCAGAAAGACAGGATCCAAAAGAGTTGACAAATAATGGAGGAGAGAGGGAGGGAGGGAGGAGGGAGGGGGAGAGAGAGAGAGGGAAAGAGAGGGAGACAGAGGGAGAGAGAAAGGCCTGTGTTGTGCATGATTAAGAAGCATTGGAGACAGATTGATTATTCAAAACGCCAAGCCACAGGGACACTTAAAACATTGATTCAGGTAAGACTTGTTCTAGCCTGCCTGATCTGAGTTCCTCTAAGATGACTGGTGGGTTTTAAACCAGGGCACCACAATACATAAAAAGCAAAGATAAAGAAAAAGCAGGACGCAGCCTCCCCAGCCCCCACCGCATCCTGTGGAAGGAGGCACTCAGTGGCAAGAGTGGGGTTGGGTGCGGGAAAACTTCACGCCAGGGGAGCAGCCAGGCAGCAGCGGGACTAGAGGCTCAGGTACAGGCGGGACCCCGCCGGCCCTGGCACCTGGCCTTGGCAACTCGCTGCCTCTGATCCCGCTCCCGAGGGGAGACGTAGGTGGGCACCTGGCCTGGTCACCGCTGCCTGCACCCTCGGGCTCTGTCCTGAAACCCCAGGGCTTTCTCGATCTTAATCCATCATCTATCTGTCTGTCTCTCTCTGCCCAGGATTTTGGGGAGGGAGGAAAGAGTGTTTCCCCCAACCAGCTAGTTCTATGAGATTCTTAAAGTCCCCTCAAATCTTTGCAGTGTTGTTAAAAAAAAAAAAACCCGGCCTACCCCAAAAAGTTTAGGAATTCAGTTCGCATTTTCCAATCTGATGTGTCTGAAATTCTCTTTGAACAAATTCCAAAATACAAGGTTGTTTTTTTTTTTACTTGTATAGAAATTAGCATCGCAATCACATCAATGATATCACTATCTCTATGGGAATGATAGCCAGAGCAGTGGGGTGTTCTTTATTTCAATTCTTCGTGGATCAACTGATTATACTCTGTCGTCTTTTGAACCTGTTATTGTAAGTCAAGTGATTCTTTATAAGTGACAGCTCGGACAAAGAGGCGAGCAGGGCCGAGCAGGTCGAAAGGAAGTGGCCATATGGACTTGGAGAAAAGGCACTTTCTCCCCAAGAGAATGGGGGTGGTAGTTGCCTTTTAACCCTCGAGCCGCCGGCCCCGCATGGGCCGTGGGAGGTAGGGAGCCGGGCAGCGGGTCCTGGCACTGTCCTCGGGCCCATCGCAGTGCCCACTGGGGTTGGGCCCGAGTGGTGGCCTCCTGGCCCGGGGCGCGTCTTCCAGGCCCGAGGTGCCCGCGGCCTTCCAAGGCCGTTCATCTCAGGAGGGCCGCGCTCCACGCGACCTGGGGGACCTCGGCTGTTGCGCACGGCCGCTCAGAGGCCGCAGAGATTTTGTGCGGCTCAGCTGGCCTGAGCCAACCCGGCAACGACCGCCCACCACCTGGAGGCCGCGCCCCACGGCCTGAGCCCCGCGGAGGATTCCGGCGGGGGGTTCGCCGGCGCCCCCTGTCGGCGCCCGTGCGCTCTGCGTTCCCCGAGGACTCGCGCTAGCTGCCTTGGGGCGATGCAGGTCGACCTCCCTGGGCAGCAGAGCTCCTTGGGAGTGGGAGTCAAGGTGAGAGGCAAGGGGCGCTGGCCAATGACCAGAGGCTTGGAGTCTTGCAGAGACCGACACTTGACGCCTACCTGCGTCCCACTAAAGCACAGGAGTTCCCCCATAGTGTTTAGTGGCCACTTCCACAGCCCGTGGCTCTTAGATCCTTTACCCCTTCTCCAGAATTTCTGGGCCTCTCCACCCTTATCCTCTAGCTCTGTGTTGCCCGGAAGGTCTCTCCTCGCTGAGTCCCTCTCCTCCTTCTCAGACTCTGGAGTACTTCTCAGTGCCACCGACCTGCCTGGCCGAGGCTGGACCCCTGTGGCTGGAGCGCAAGCAGAGACTCCCAGGGCCCCACCTGCATCCAGGAGCCCTGCACTCACCAGTGCTCACAGCCCTCTGGCTGGACAGCCACTCCTGCCACCCACCAGGGTACTCTGTCCCGGGCTTTCCACTCTGCAGTGTCTTCTTCAAGATGACACCAGCTTTCTGACTTCTTGAAACTGATGGAAGTCATTGGGAGCCTGGGCTGGCAAGTTAGTTGGATGGTGGTCACGGGTAAAAATCGAGTTCTTTGGTGACTCCTGTACCAGCTCAGAAGCAAGGGCCTTAGAAGCTGCACTACGTTGACATAGATCAGCACCTTGTTGTAAGTGCTTGGCTTCTGTGCACGCCTCTTTTGAAAGTAATACTTCTCACACCAAATAGATTGGTTCTGACCTCTGTCTTTGGATTATCAAAAGTGACTGATTTATAAAATGTTATCCAGCTACTGCTTTGGAATTGTGCTTCCTGGGGCAACAGTACTCATTTTGGTTTTGTTTCTACATTGCTCTGCTTTTCCCCCCACGCTATTCTCCTCCTTGTGACTTTTCTCGTGGTATCAACAGGTTAAGAACTAGCCATTGGCATGGCCATTGCCTGTGACCAAAAGAGTGATGCACAGGGGAAAGCATCCAGCAGGGCTGCTTGGGCTCTGGAGTGGAGGGGTGGACCAGACCCAAGTCCTCCCACCCCAGACCTCAGTTTCCACACCATATAAAGATACCCTCCTATTATCTGTAAAGCCTTATGATCACAGAGAGTCAGTGGCTCTAGAAGAATGGTAGTAGCCTCCTTCAGGTCCACCTTCTTCAAGCAGAAGGAAGATGCTAAGAGATCTGTAGAGGTCCATGTATTCAGTGGGAAGCTGGTCTGGACACTTTCATGGCCCCAACTGGATTCTCATGGAGAGTCCCTGTTCCCCAATTGCAGGTGGCCCAGAAGGTCATCACCACTGACCAGGTGCTTTCCTTTCCTCCTGGGGAAAGCCTGCCTGGGGTTCAACCATGAGGTTTCCTTCCCCTCCCTAAACGGTTTTCTCTGCTGCTGAGGTCAGGCATCTCTCTCCATGGAGGCAAAGGAGCAGCTTTTTCAGCTGTGGACACCTCAGGGTGAATGAGCCTTCAAAGACTCCCCAGAGAGCAGGGTTCAGAGGTGTGCCATGAGAGGTGGGAGAGGTGATTCCCGAATAAGGAGAAATGGAGAAGCTGGCCTACATGGCTATTCTGCCATGGTCCTTGGCCATGGATGGGCCAATCGGGCTGTCTTCACCTCCTCCAGCATCCTCTTTGAAGCATACCCTTTAAAGACCTGGAGTGCTGCTCTCCCAAAAGTTCCCCCCCAAAAGTCATACACCTCTTCTGGTCTTTCCAACGGAAGGAAGAAGTCAACATGGCAACATCTGTTTGTCCTCGCAGAGCAAGCCCCTTACCCTAGCAGGAGCCCCTGCCTTTCCTCCCCAACTCTGAGGGCATCTGGTTGGGGCTCCTGCTTCGGATCCCAGCCCATCCACGCATCCTAGCTCTCTGAACACTGTAATTGGTTCAGGAATAGGCATGTGACCTAAGCTGGTACAATCAGAGTGAATCTTGTATTTTCGTTTTAAATAGACCCCAGCTGCGGGACAGCTGTGGTCCGGTCCCCACGCCCATGCCAGGAGAGTAGAGCGGAGAACTGGCAGAGGCCACCAAGGAGGGCTGAGAATGGTGCCCACACAGCAGAGAGCAGAGCGGAAATGGAGAAATGGGACTGCTTGTGTTAAGCCCTACGTCCAGCCACATCTGAAACCAGCCCCATTCCTGCATCTTTCCGCTTTGTGACCTGGTAAATTCCCACTGTTACCTCAATTTCTTTTGCTTTGGGTTTTCTGTCACTTGCCACAGAATGAGGCCTGATACACTTAGCATCTGACAAAAAGAAGGAATACCTGGACTAGGGATCAGAAAACTCATAAGCAAGGCTGAAGCAAGGTGTGTGGGGTGGGAGGAGGCGGGGGGGGGGGGTGGAGGGGTGGGGTTAAGCGGGGCTCCTGATGCTCCTCCCAGCAAAGGAGCAGCCAGCGAACTTGCCGAAATTCTCTTAAAGCTACAGGTGTGCCTTGCTTTGCATAATAGCTCTGTCCCAAAAAAGATATTTGTAAATTGAATTTTGGTGAATTGAATCTGATTTACTGCATTGGGACAGCTAGTTATTTAAGGCCTCTCCCTGGACGTCTTTCATCAAGTGAATGGTCATGTTCTGAAAGAACAAGTTAATGGTAATTTATTTATAATTGCAATTTTCCTACCTCAGTCATATAGTTTAAAG